GCTAATATGCCACCGAAACCCAACAAACCAATTTGGCAGCCGAAAAGAAAACATAAGAAAAAAAAGAGAATTGACGACTGGTAGTCGCCAATTATTTTTACCTTGTTTTGCTACCTCAAAAATGAAAAAAAAATCTTAAAATCTATTGAATCGATAAAAATCAGTCTATGGATGTCTGTTTAACTTTGTTAAATGGAGTCTAGAGATATGAAAACTTACTGTAAGTCAGTATGGCTTTTGAGTGTTCATTAAAATTGTTCGGTCGATGAGGTTTATGTTTCTAAAAGTCTGGTTGTATTTGAAGCCACGCCTTTGTTTGATAAAGTCAATAAATCAGAGTGATCTTTGTTCTTGTTATTCACATGAAATGATGCCCTTTCTAAGAGAAAGAACAAATTAACAGCCTGCATCTCGGAAGTAGATTAATTTCTATTTGGTATCGAAAGTAAGCCGGAATTGCTTTGATCTCTCTTTACTTCGCCATGTGATTAATTCAGAATACTCGCACCCCTATGTGTTACTGTTACGTTCGCCATCGCACTTTTTATGGTGATGAAAAATCCTATACCCGTGTCCGTATCTGGCGTGTGGAGTTCCTCTCTATCAGCGTAGCACTGGGAGGTTTCTTGTTCAAAGTCCTCAATGATACCGAATGAAAGGGCTATCTCGTCGGTTCGAGTGTGACGCCGACTGATTGATCCGCTCAAATCATCCACTTTGTGAGAGATGTCCCCCAGCTCCGTTAGAGACTCCACTACAAAACGTAATCATGAGACCAAAGCGAGAGACTCTGTCAGTCCAGTCAATGTGGACACGGGTACTACTCTGATACGCAATGCTAAAACACGCGCCTGTGAGCATGCCGTTGATGACATTAGAGTAGACACTAGCACTAAGACTGAGGATTCTAGTGACTCTTCTGCGAGAATTCTCAATTAAGCTTGCAGTAGTAACGAACTCTCTTGTAAAGTTGTCGAGCAAGCCTCTCAGAGCCTTAAGCAGGTTATCACCACAACGTTAGGAGGAGTAGTTGAATCAATAAAGCTAGCTAGCTATGACAACAGGGGTTGAGTTCCTTCAGGCCCTCTTTTGACCTCTTGGGTGGGTTCATTCGAGCGGTAGACATGAGCGTAACAAGTAGACGAGGCCTGGAAACGAGGCGCACGTAAACATTGGTAATCAAGATGGCGACGGAAACGGCCTCTGAATGCAAGATTATAGTTAAAAAACCTATGCTACTGAAGGTTGGAGATTTGGCTAGCGAGTTCAGGTCTGGTGTGTCAGTGGTTGACATAATTCTTCCAGGAATGAATGCTGTGCAGGTAATGCAGAATTGGAGTATTTAACCCACACACTTGAACAGTCTATTCGGTTCACCTTCAATCTTGCTTCAATGAGTCAAAATGTAGGAGATTCCAGCTTGAAACAAAATCACAGGCTTAACAAAGAGCTTCAGAGTTTGTGTGTTATTGAAGGGTGTAGTATAGTGAAATAAACTTCAACATAAAAGAATTTTATTGTACTGTTATTTTCTCAGGCTACAAAAGTTGCCTCTTTTTCGTGAGTTGTTTCGAGCATTGCTTGTAATAGGGCTAGGTGCTAAATTTTTATTTGTAGGAATTTTTAAATTTTCGCTAGAACGTAAAGGGTTCAGTCTTTTATTCCACCTCATTCTGTTTAGTTCTCTTACAATTCAGAGGATACATTTGATAGCATTAATTGCATTCTCTTTTCAAATGAATGTACTCCCATGCCATGTATTGTGAGAGACCTAAACAAGAACAACTTAGATTGAGAAAATCATACTCAGGCCCACAAAGTCTTGGGCTGGGCAAATCAATCTGTTCTAGTTGCTAAATAGCTGATATTAATGAATTATATGATGAGGTTAAGCATGATATTCAACAATTATTTGCTGAAGGCTAAGTGGATATTGTTGAATAATCCCCAAGACAAAGTCAAGGGGATTATTTGACATTATTCATCGAGCTATAGGTGAAAAATTGTTGTTGTATAATTGTTGAGGTGCTTTCAAATTATGTTGTAAACATTTGTTTTGATGATGAAACCATTTTTTCCAATTGATTTGACTACTGTTATCAAAGAGAAACACCCTACTCTATATTGACTGTATGCCCTTGACCAATCAGAGTTTTGATAGTAGGTCTAATGTATGAGAACATTAGTTATCAAACAGTTCAGATTATTAAACTTAGCTTAGCTTAGTTTTTTTCTCTTTTTAATGTACTTTATCAGGTTGGAAAGCTGACATTTAAGAACTCTTACACAGCGTCTGTTACGGTAAAACTGAAAGTTATAGGTAAGGTTGTTCATAAAATTGATATTTTTCTTTTAATATTTGTGATTTCACTGATAAAAGTGTTGCAAATCCATTTATACCACTCTTATATGATTATGATATATCTTGCATTTTATAATATTGACAGATGTATCATGATCAGTTAGAGATGGAAAGATGCAATCCTACCAAGAGTAATTACTATGCAACTTGAGTCAGATGACTAAAGGCAATTTTGTTGTAATGGTTACAAACATTATCAGTGATACGTAGTCATTCTGAACAATTGTGAAATAGGAAAAATGACAGTTTATTAAATACTATTACTGTATAATTTGTTGTTAACTGAAGGACTCTTTTAGATCATGCAGGTGCTGAGCAATGGAAAACCCTTGTGAAGAACTACACTCTGATGCCTCATCCTCATTTAGAAACAGGAAGCCAGGATTTTTTTGTGATTAATATTAGTAAGGTATAAAATTTTACTTAAATGTGTTACAAGACAACTAAACAATAACACTTGACTGATGATAGAAGATCTATTCAAAGTTAGATTTTCTCTCGGAAGTTGTACATTAGGTAGATGCATGACCTGAGGGAAATAAAGGTTATTATTTCTCATACTTAAAAGGTTTTAAAGAATTGAAGAGGTAAATTAAGGCAAATTGACAAGCTTTGAAAATACGCTGAACATCAATCCCTTTTTAGGGAAGAGGATGCTTTATTATTAATTATTATCTTACAACATGAAAGAGAAAATTTTGCACAGGGGAAAACTCTTATAAACTGGTTGGCAACCAATATTGCCCTAATCAACTGTGGTCTTGTTCACTTTCATACACTTGACATTGTGAGACACACTTGTATTGCTAATACCATGTGCGATTCTGTAACAATGAGATGCATAAACAGTGTGTGTGAGCCAGTTCTGATACCATGTTCCTTTTCACCTTGGGAACTACTTGTAGAAATATTAGTGTGCTCCTTCCAAGTGGTTTCAGATTGAAAGGCAGTGCCAATCAAGGATTAAATTATCTTTCAGCTTGGTAATTGTGAATTTCTATTGTCTGGTGTACTTATCATTTTTGTTTCTTCAGAATGCTTTTCTGGCCTGTGAATAACAACTTAGGACTGTAAATTCTATTTTACCAAAGCTCCTTACTTTTCTCTAAAACACAACTAGTCACATACAGGGTAATTTTATGAAATGCCAATTGCCATCTTTTTGTTATTTCCTTTGGGTAATGAAGAGGTGTAGTCACTTTTTCTTAACCGGCTGACTATATTTCATCTGCAATGATCATGAGTTGGTTTACCTCTTGGAACAAGGGAAATGTTAAAATTTCCAAACAGAGATTAGTGACTGGTTTTTTAGTGGTACTGGATGATGATTTGTAATGGTTATGTGACTCTTAATTTCTCCTGAGGGTAAATTTTTTATAAGTAGAGGCTTGCCAGTGTTCAATGCTAAACCTTGAAAGTTTTTCTTTGTACAATGTTTTTCCCTTTATGTGATAAAGATGGAATCACATTTAGGTGCTCTCATTTGAAAGGGTAAATCTTCCTGTCTATTTTTTCAAGAGTTTCCAAATGTGTTAAAGGTAATGCAACTGAAAACTGTGGCTGAAACTTCCCTTTATTCAGCAGCTAGTGGTTACTTCTTGTGTAGAGTTAAGGACTGTAAACAATGGGCATCATTCAAAGATTGGAATCACTATTTTCCTGTTATCATGATTACTCTCGGCATACCCAGGTGGATACAAAATAATACAAAGGAAACCTCTAAACTTAATAAATTAGCAGTTTCAATTAATGGTATTATACTCTCTTAGATGTCAAAGCAGTGTATGTTATATATTACAATAAATTAATTTTTAGAGGTTAAACTGGCAAAAATAAATAGAGTCAAGTATTGTACAGTACAGCTATCACACTGAGATCACTTTTTAATCATTTTAGACTGACAAGCCTCCTCTTCAAGTGATAATGATGAGGTTAATTCTCCGACAACCTTCCCCTCACTGGAGTAACTTTGGCATAGAAGAGATAAAGTGCTTTCTACATTCACCTATGGTAATTCAACAAGTTTTTTTGTGCTTAAACTAACTTTTTGTCTGTTGAAAGTTAAGACAGAATGATATTTTTTCACCTTTGGGATGAATCTATGCCCAGATGTTTCAAACAAATCATGTATTGACACCTCAATACAGTTATGAACAGTTAAATGACAAATAAATGGAAACATATCATTCTGTACCAACTTTTAGAAAGATATAAGAATATATATTGAGCCTTCAACTCCAATGAGTGACCAGGACAGAATTTCTCCTTACAATACCAATACAATATCAGTCATAAATGTAATGAGAATAAAGTAAAATATCAACTAGGGAGATAATTAGTTGATCCATTTAACTAAATTCTCCCAATTAAACTCATAAGAATTGTATGGTTGACAGTAACAAGAATTACTAATGAGATCTTGGTTGTGAAAGGGTTAAAGCATTCATTCATTCATTCTCCAGAGGAAAAAGTTATCAATAATATATTATTTCATCAAATTGTTGAACCAGAAGCATGTACCAGCAGCAGGTTGAAAGTATTACGAAACTGCGTGTAAATTTCAAATATTACTGAATGTGGAAAAAAATATGAATCCAGAGTTTGTAGTAGTGAGTTTGGATCTGTTGGGTTGTATTAGTCCCTGCCACCTTCTTTCACATTTTAAAACCAGTATGGATGATATCTTTGCAAGTTCTTATGTAGAATTAAAACAGTAAACATGGAAGGAAGTGACAACCCTTCATGAATTCACTGTTAATTCAATGATCATTAAACCACAACTCTTGGCTAATATCCCATATGCATCAAAGCTTAAATATGTTTTGAGCTGTATGTTAAACACTGTGTTGAATAGTTTTCTTTATAGGAGCTGGGTAAACTGCTGCTTGTCAACTTCAACTTTAACATTTTGAAATAACTACTAACCGCTTTGCATGGGAAAATTCAGTTTGTCAGTTCTCTGTTTCTGATTTTCATTCAGTTAACCCTTTCACTCCCACAAGTGACCAAGACAGAATTTCTCCTTACAATATCAATACAATGTTAAGCAGGCAGGTGATGAGAATAGAGAAGAATATCAATCATGGGATAATTAGTTGATCCAATACCAAATTCTCTGAACTAACATCATAAGAATTGTATGGCAGATAGTAAGGAGAATTACTAATCAGATCTTGGGAGTGAAAGGGTTGAATGCGGTTGAACTAAACATGTTTTGCTGGCGTGAATGGGGTACTAGTCTTGTTTGAATTTGTTTAAAAGATGTTGTCATTCTATTTTCCAATGTCATGTGTAGAAAAGTCCAAGATATAGCTTTAATGCTACAAATTCTAGCACATAATAAGACTTTCATTGCTTTTCAGAATTGCTCATCAGTACCAGAATGGCTACATAATAATGACTGTCATAATCCTGGTGGAATCAAAGCAGTACAGGTGCATATCAAATGTGATATAATTGTAGTACTTATTATCTGAGTGGTTGTTTTAGTGTCCAACCTATTGAAAATTATTGTAAAAGTTTTTTAAAAACTCCTTTAGGACTCACAAACAGGTAAAGCTATGTTTTGTTAAAATCAATTGCCCTCTGCCAGAGTATAAGAGGCAGGTTGGTCCAAAGTTGGTTGAAGAGGATTTAGTCTCAGCAGGTGTTTGTTGTCCAGTGTATGTCACTTTTAATGATTCCATCATTTTACATTTTGATATTTTACAGTCAAGTGAATTGACTGCTTCTAGATGTGGTAGTTAAACTTAATAATTGCAAAGTGACCATTTTATCAAAAATTCATTGAAGCTAACAATCTTTGTTTCAGAGTGTCTCTAACTCAGAGAATGTGGCCTCCAGCATTCAGCAACTTTGGGCATTGACCCAGGGGGTGATATCCTCAAAACAGAATCTGTCTATTGGTCGTTTTGATGTAAGTTTTAAGCTTTATTGGTTTCAACAGCAATGATAAAAATTCACTCATTTGGCTGATGAGAATTTGTTTTTTAGATTGACAGAAGCTATGACATCAACTTGTTATCATACACATAACAGTACAGCTGCTTGATGTATGTGATTTCCTGGCCAAGGGAAGAGAGGAAATATGAACCATGTGATGTTCATGTGTCAGTATGGTTCCATACAGAGTAAACAAGGCTGATGCTTACAATGTATCAATCATCTATCTTCAACTAGGAGATTCCCAATAGGAGAAGCATCTGAGAATTCCTACAGATGTAATTACGGATCTGACTGAGTTTATACCACAGAACAACCAGTTTGAATTTGATAGTGAACACTACCCTTAGGACAGCTATTGACTTAAAAATGGCACCTGCCTATGTCAATTTATTTAGGGATAGATTGGAAGGGAAATTTTTGACACAAGATCTGATTAGGCTGTATGTTTGGTTGAGACACATTGATGACATTTTTATGGTGTGGACTGGTGGCAAGGATGAATTGGGAACATTTTTTAATTACTTAAATGAATGATGAATGTATGATACAGTAAAGTTTATGTGTCACTTAACGGGTTTATGTGGTTTATTTGGAGCCCTCATGATGAGCAGATTTCGCCACCTGAAATTGACCATAATTAGTGCTAACGTTGTATGTGAAGTCTCACGTGCCACATTGTAAAGGAATAATTGATCCACAAAGTTCCCCAAATTAAATCTTAGGTCATTCATCTTGTGGGGTTGGTTAAGCATTACACATTAATCCACCGTACCAATCTTGGCAGAGAAAAAATTTACCTCGTACGCAAGTCTCTTCCGCAGCCGTGTCCTTTCTGGTCATCAAGAGAATAGCCAGAGAGAGGCGAACTTGGAAATGACAGAAAACGCTCGTTTTCAGCGTAATGCGCGGGTAGTGTTGGTATTGAGACATATAACAGGATCTTAGATCTTAAACTTAGGGTGATAAAAATGCCGATCGGGAGGATTTTCGATGCACGTGGACAACGGTCGAAATCGTAGTGTGCAGCCTTGACATCATCCTATAGCAGGAACAGCATTGATGGCAAAGCAAACATAAAACGGCAGAGAACGCCGGAAACCACGACGGAAACACAAGATGTTACGGTAAGTTCTATTGATTTTACGTGAAAGATGTTCATATTTTGAAATACTTATCATTGTAAATCGACCATATTTCGTTCCCAATACTATTCCTATACTCTCAACGGTTCCTCTCGTAACTTAACATCGAGCCACACAACGCGTGACACTTTCATGAAGAGTCTGCTCCACGTGGAACTCTTATCGCAAGATGCCCGTAAAAATAAGAATAGGCGTCGCACCTCGCGTTGAGATACCGACCTAAACATTGACTTTAGACGGATGGTTGCACCCTGGCTTCATCTTCGGGGCTTCTCCCTTTTTTCTGAAACAGATCTTTCCGTGGCGTTCCGACTAGATCGTACTTTCATCTGTGAAGATGATATCTTCTAAATTCTCTTCGCTCTCGAGGGATTATTGGGCGAAAGCCAGTCGGGCGACTCAGTTTGCCTCGAGAACTAGTTGGCAGTACTTAGGCCCGTATTTGGTCCATCCATGTTTTTGCCGAATTCGTTTGATGGTAACCGTAGCAGGCTGAACACCCAGCCGAGTCCACCCAGATCAGGGATGTAGATAACAGCCGGAAGCCGGGAAAATTACCCGGCTGTGAACGCGATTTTTCCGGCTGTGAAGCACTACTTCTTTCCCCAAATTGTTTTTAAATGTTGTCAGAATATTGTTATTTATTTATTTCATTTGTTTACACCTTCACATCTAGGTATAGCGTGCCAAAGGTACGCTAGAGTCAGGTGGGCCTTCGGCCCAAATACCCGCCTATCATTGCAAGATTCCCGCCTGCTAAAAACTTTAGCTACATCCCTGACAGATATCAGTGGCCAACTTTGCTCAATTCTCTTCTACCATCAGCGGTGAGAAGATTCAGGACCACGAAATCATGGTGTCCTTTGACGTAGAGTCACTGTTCATCAACGTCCCCATTGAGGGTGCCATAGAAGCCGCGCGACGAAGATCAGGGAGTGACCCAAGCCTTGCAAACCGCACGACACTAGCACCTGCTCAGATTGCGAACCTCTTAGACTTCGTGAGAACTTGTGCGTCCAAAGAGCGAGTCAGACCTCTCGGAAAACAAGGACTCGTCTGAACAATAGGGATCGAAATCCACCAATCACATTATATCGCAGTGATACACCTGATAAGGCGTTAGCAGTCGACCTCATCGCCAGATGAAGACTTTCTTTTACGGTAGTGACTTATTTGTGACTCACAGTTCTAAATATACGTTTAGGATATCAACGAGAACATAGATTAACACATTAAGTGAAATGGCTTGCTTTCAAGCAAGGTTTTATTTGTACTGCACGGAAGTTCCATACTGCTAGACTGTGATTGGCTCTTTCTGTGAACTTCCGATCCGACCTCTAGTATAAATACAATTTCAATTTAATTATGTTTTAGTTAATGACGTAAAGTTCACCAATAGCTAATATGTCTTTCAGGGCTAGTTTGAAGGTACCAAAGTATGGTCTGTTCTATTTCCCAATAGACCAGACTACTAGTATTATTCCTATTAAAAATATCCAAAAAGTTGTCCAAGGAGACAATGTAAGTAAGGGCAGCAAAGTAATGGTTAAGTTCGAGAGGCAAGTTTATCAAGCTGAAATAATAGGTGTCAACGGTACGTGTGCTCATTTTTGGTTTACTAGTATTCAATTCTATTGTGTTCGTTTAACTTTAGAGTAACTATACTCAGGCTTCCTTTTACGTTGTCTAAACATCTGCTTATACTTCAGATGATTTTTCCGAATTGCGCGAAACGGAATCTAAGTTTCTCGAGGACCCCGGAAATTCTGAGCTGTTCAAAAAGCAAGAGGAGGCGACATCAGCCATTACGAGTGAAGAGCCGACCGAGATAGCTGATAAAACGATCGAGAAAGCTGCGTCCAAAAAGCGGAAACAGTCAGTCGCGGATGAGAAGGCGAAAGTGAAAAAGGAAAAGGGAAGTGACCCGGAACAGGTATGTACAGTTACGCTGTGAATTCGAAGAAATTTACTTTAAAGATCTGTCCCGCTTCCCCTAAGTAATTCGCATAAAACAAATTTTTGCCTTATAGGCCACCATCCCCAGAACACCATCCCCAGCACCTTTGTCATACACACCAATGCTGCCATCAGTTCTGTCGCCTCTACCACCGACACGTAAACTTAGGCTGTCCCACTCCGTGCCACCAAACCTTTCCATGCAGAGCCAGACTGACAGCCATTCAGAAATAATCACATGGCTTCGGCATATTTCTGCGCAACAAGAAGCAATGAAAGAGGGATTGAATACGCTAATTGGAGTGCTCGCTGGTAAAACCGAATCAGCCACCCCCCCTGCTGAAAACTTTGAGGCCAAAGTTCAACAAGAAGTTCCACCATTCATTCCATCTGTAAATGAGTGGATGAACACAATGTTATCTGAGGAAGAAACTCGTGAGGATCCATACCTGTATGGTTTTTAAGTGGTACTGGATGATGATTTATATTGGTTATGTGCCTCATAATTTTTCCTTAGGGTAAATTTTATAATAGTAGAGGCGTGTCAATGTGCAATGTTATATTTTGAAAGTTTCCATTTGTGCAATGTTTTTTCCATTACGTAATAAAGATGGAATCAAAAAGTTGCTTTCATTTGAAAGGGTAAATCTTATCTGTCTATTTTTTTTCAAGTTCCCAAATATGTTAAATGTTATAACTTTTGCGTAGAAAGATAAAGTGTTTTCTGCATTCACCTATGGTAATTCAACTAGTTTTTTATGCTTAAACTAACTTTTTTCTGTTGGTAGTTAACCAATGATATTTGTTCACCTTTGGGGTGAATCTATGTTGTTGGATGTGTTATACAAATTATGTATTGTTCTTAGTTGAACGGTTTAATGACAAATCACTGGAAACACATACTTTATCAAATTTTAGAGAGATGTTAGAATATGTACTTAATCCTTTAACTCAACTGGGTGACCAGGGCAGAATTTCTCCTTACAATACCAATACAATATCAAGCAGAAAAGCAGTGAGAATAAAGAGAAATATCAAGTTGGGAGATTATCAATTGATCTAATACTAAATTCTCCTGACTTAACTCATCAGAAATGTATTTACCTATATTTAGAAATAAACACTGATGGGAAAATAGAGACAGATTTATACACAAAGCCTTCCTACAACCATCTGTTTATGTTTCGCACACCATGTCAGCCATGCACAACTAAGGAAACCAAACCATACACCCTTGCTCTGAGGTTAAGACTGATCTTGTGAGAAGGTATTTAGTTTGGGGCAGTGGAACTGTGCACATTTTTAGTTAGAAAAAAGAAGAAACCAAGAGTTTGTCACCAAACAAATTCAACAAACAAAATTGAAAATCAGAGGGGAATAATCAATACCATGCCCAAATGGCAGAGTACTTGTGGTTATCATCGACCATTTTGTTCAAGAGTATGTAGGTGACCTTTCAGGAGAATTGCATTCCCTCGTGCTGAACTCCTAAAAATGTAAAAAGCAGTCAAAGGAGTTCCTCTTAGGGCTTTTGAAGGACCAATAAGCCATACTGATTAACTAGCACATGTGAAATTTGTCTGACAGTGCTCCAAGTAGTAATGGAAAGGAAAGAAGTAATGTAGTGATGGGTGAGGTCTGGTGTGCAACATCTGAAACTACACCACAGATTTAATTTGAAAAGAACCAGAAAAATTTGTATCATTAGTTACAAGCCAGATTGTTATCACAGTACAATTACTATTGTGCAAGGATTGTCAGAAACACTCAGTACATTTAGGATCAACAACCAAGTTTTTATCAGATATCAATAACCACAAGTTGCATCAGGGAGCACACTTACATGTAAGGCTCTCTGTGGAGTATGGAAAGAGAGATCTCTTCAGATATTACAACAGTCTGGGACACCATGAACTTAATGATATTTCAGTTCAAGTGATAGATAGGATGACATACAAACAAGCCTTACAAGATCAAGAGGGGCAATGGACCTACAGGCTTCACACAATTGGGCCACAAGAGTGATTTCTTTTTAGATAAGAATAGATGGGAAAGAATCTGGGCACACTGAATTTCAAAATTTGTTTTCAAGCAACTACACCCGAAGTGTGTTGTTATTGTGTAGATCTGTGAATAGTTTTTGCTTGAAAGCTTTACCCTGACAAGGATCAAGTCCTACCACTGGGGTTTTACTTAAATCTTCTTTCGTTTGTGTGCCATTGCCAGTGCTATTCAGCTGGAACGAAGTTTGCTTATTTACAGAAAATGTAACACTACTTTCATGATAGCAAAACTATGTGAAAAGGAACTTCTATATGAAATGTCCAAATTGTCACAGACCGTTAATAAATAGATTTCTTGTTATTCATTTTGATGTTGGTTGATTTCCTCATCATTATGCATACAGTTCTTGGTTAAAGAAGACGATAATACTTTGGGTTAAACGGAAATCTCTCCGAAATTACCCTCGTCCATCGAACTGATACTCGTTTTAAGTAAAACAATGTATAAATTATCGAGAATAATGAAACTGGTCGATCGATGAAGGACATGATACGATTGTCAGTTCTAACTTATGTTCCCAGCAAACTGGCTCAGATGTCTTGGTTTCCAAATATGCTTTTGAGTAAGAGAGTTTAAACTTCGTCCAACACGCGTAACTAAGACAATGAGGAGAAAATTCAAGTGTACGTTAGGGGTAGGACTGCTATGGAATCCAACAAATACGAGGGCGTCCTCACTTCTTTTTCTTCCTTTCTCTTAATTTAGGATGTGACGAGTTAGATGCCAGATGAGATTTTCTTGCTGTTTCTTCCTTTGCATGGAAATCGTCTTGGTCGTCGACCCGTTTGTTTATAGGAACCACTACAATTGCCAGTATACAGATCAGCTGAAAAATACCACCGAGAAAAAGACCGTAGTGAAGAATCAAATCCCACATTTTCGCTTCGCGGTAATGATGTTGTTGACTTGCGACCGTTGCGCCCAGTGTCATTTTGGCTTCCTCGACAATAAATGCTCGTACCCAGACCTTAGTGAGAAAACATGGCTGCTGCCAGTCCACCTTCTGGAGCGAGCGACAATACTAACACTCCTTCTAAAATAATTACTTGTAAGCCAGAACTGGATTTTTCCAATCCTTGGAAAATGAGTGATCTAGTACTTGTTGTCGAAAACAAGCGATTTCATGTTCATCGTACCATTTTATCGATGTGTTCTCCTGTTTTCGACCGGATGCTTTCCTCGGACTTCAAAGAGAAAACTGCTACTGAAATTCCACTTCCTGGGAAGAAGGCGGACGAAATAGAGGAACTCCTTCGTTCTATTTACCCTTACGTTGAACATCGAATCTGTGAAGAAAACTCCTTTTCTTTGCTAGAGCTTTCATGTGAATACCAGCTGGATAGACTGAAGGCTCGATGTGAAAAGTACTTCATGTATAAGAGTATGACTAATGACGAAGCACTCGAATTTGTCGTTATGGCACAAAGACATCAGCTTAGTAATGAACTGATTCAAAGGTGTATGCAAAGGTTTGTTTCGCAGGAAACTAACTGGGAAACTCTTAAGAAAAATGAATTATTTTCCCAGCTAGAGCCACGGTATTCACAGCAACTTGTAGAGGAAAGAGTGAAGTACCTGGAGAAAAGGCTGACCTCGTGTAAGTCAACCATTGAAGTTTTGAAGATGAAGAAGAGTGACAAAGACGATGATGACCATGGGCCTTGTTCCTATCGAAGACATTTTATGATGAGGAAACGGTTCAGAGAGCTTGAACACTCGAGTCCGTTTGACTAAGAGTCTCTACACTTCTGGAATAAAAAGGGTGTTTGTGTGATGAACTTAATATTTAATTATGACATGTGAAAGAGGAGTAAGCACGAAATTCAAGACTCCAGTTGATAAAGTATTGGACTCATTGGTGTATTCGGGCTTTCAATTTTTTAAATTAACATTGTAGCATTTTGAATTCAACATTTAGTCAACATTTGCAAAAAATCTTATTTGGTAATTACTCTGGAACTGTTGAATGTGGGTTACCTCAAACTATCTCATGTCCAACATGTGCCAGTGAGACAGTTAAATTAATACAGTCATACAAAAAAAGTACCTCAAAATTTGTTATAAACATCAAGTTACAATGTTTCGTGAATTACTTTTGCTATCAATGGTTTATGAGCTTAGATATTTGTGTGCACTGTGGAAATCTCAGAGAAGAACCAAATTATATTCATCTTAAGGAAACACTAGATAATATTAGTTAGAGTCAGAGTAGGTAAAGCAAGACTTCAGCATAAGTTTTATCTGTCTACTGTAGATACAATAGAACCCAGCTAACTCTCAAGGGAAACAAGGAAGAGTTTGAGTCAGCTGATTGTAAATGATGGAAAAATGGGGTTAAGGGAAATCACATCTTTTTTGAGTTAGCTGGGGGTTTCAAGTTAACAAAGTTTGAGTTAATAGGAGTTCTACTGTAGTCTTTTTTCAATCATCTTAACAAGGCAGAAAATGTTAGTTTTCTCAAACCAGTATGAGCAGTTAACTAAGGGGTGAAAAATGGAATGAATCATAGTCAATTACTTAATTTAATAATAACCCCTCCATGGTAGAAATCTAACATCTGTCTTAGACCTAGCATCAAACTAAGAAAATAAGGAAGGTGATTCATTGAAAATTGATGTTTTTAAAATCAGCCAAAATTAATATTCTCTAACATGCTGATATTTTCATCTAATGCCCCCTAATTAAAGGATCAATTCTGCCCAAAATTTATCTAAATTGCAGGAGCCAAATAAAATGTAATGCTTTCAGGCAGTTAATGTTATATGACCAGTTTAGTTGATTGCTCTCAAACTCAAGGCTTGCCACTCCTAGACATTAATCACCACTGAATGGGAGTCCTCTACCTCAATCAAATAAGAGACAGAAGAAGGAAGAAGAAAGAAGAGAGGCATGCACTGGCACCAGTAGAGAAATTCTGCAATTCCTAAATTTTTTCTTTACTCTTTGATAATTTGTTTGCTTAGTTGCCAGTTGGCAGCAAGGGGTGCAAAAAATTTGCAATCAAATAAAGATTACTTAATGTAATGTGCCTCAAGAGCATCAGAGATTCAGAGCTACAGAGATTTCAAATTTAAGGTTGTTATGTCAGCCTAACAATTTCACCAATCCACCCCATCCCTCCTCCTTCATGAAAATACTTTCAATAACACAAAAAAAAACATGACCTCATCTGTTTTCCCTTAGGGCTCTCTCTAAAGCATTTTGAGGAGTTTTAGTTTTTGAGTACTTATCATTTCTTCCTCTTAAAGTGTACAGTAGTTTTACACATGAATGGCATTAACTTTTTAGAGCTTTAGCTTTTTTTTCAAACAAATAAGGAAAAGAGGTCCTGCTCAGTAAAGAGCACTTACAAGAAAAGAAAGCAGCAGTTGAAAATTATTTCGCGATACTACCAATAGTAAATTGATAAAATAACCATTTGTTTCAATCAATTATTTTTCAATAGTCCACATTCAGTTTACTGTCTTTACCTTTAGGAGTGATGCAGAAATAGCTCGCTTAAGATGGTTCAAATATTTGCTTAGGAGCTAATCTTGAGCAAATAAGATCTACAGAAGATCTACAAAGTGTGTCTTAGTACCTGCAATCCCACTTTTAGTGCTGGATATCACTTTTATGCAGACTTGAAGTGATGTAAAATTGTTCACTGAACACTTAAGATGGTTTGGAGCAAAAATTACATTACCATGTTTCTCATTTACCCACAAACCCTAGATGCTCCAATTTTCTCCTTGTAGAAATTCAAGTTTCAAATAAATAGGCTTCGTTTCTAAAATGCCCATACTCACTCCTCCCTCCTAACCAAAGACAGGAAGTCTATCTTGAAATTTGGCACCATGCCTGACTTTCTTGCATAGTGCATTGCAAATGTTATAACATACTATAATTGTAATTTATTTATTCAGACTAGCTAGCATTATCAAAGAATAATTGCGTTTGAGAGGCTGTAAGAGTTTCCCCTTTAAAATTTTGAAGGTTCTTCAACCAAGGAAGTGTCTACTGCATATTAAATTAATTTCAGTCGAGTGAATGTTCACATGAATAACAACGAATGGTATTTTGGTCTTTTGCCTAGGAGCTCTAAAAATTAGTATGCCCTCCAGGAACATATTAGAGTGTTTACAGTTGGTTAATGATACTGATCCTAATTTAAAGTAAAACTACAAACAAGTTATGAGTCAACTTTGTTTTTCATGAGAAAAAAAAAAAAAAAAAATGGCAGTTGCAACAAGTACACAGCAGATATTCTATTGCACTCAGTTTTTAATGGGTTCAAATGATAATTTAACTTACATTGGAACTCACATGAAGCTCTTAAGAAATCATACTGGCCTTGCGTTATATCTATAACATCAGCTCCTTAGGTTACAATCTTTACCTTAAAGCTTCATACAAGATAACAACTAGAGCACTTAAATTTTCACACACAAATTAAACACCATGAATTCACTGAAGGAATAAAAAGTCTAGCTAATACTTAGTACCACAAATATGAACCATTCAAGACAGTGACTTGGGAAATTTGAGCCCAACAAGCATCATGCAATAGGCTCAGCAGAGAAAGCAAAATTACTAATTACCATCTTTGTTGCAGATCTCCTGTGATATCTGAAGCATCCATTCTTCAGGATTCACTTTTTACCCAAAGAACTTCATATATGACATCAAGGATGGCATCTATTATTGCAAAAATCAAACTAAACAGTTTGAATTCAATTGAAAATAACAAAACCATACTTCTTTGAATAATAAGACATTACGGCATGGAGTAGGGGTTCTAACCTTCAAAACAAGTAGTTATCTATCATACATAATTATTAAATTTATTTTTTATTTAGTATAACTGGCGACCAACTCCTAAACTTCAATAATCTTAAGATCTGTCTCCAACTTGGCCTGTCTGTTTCCATTCACCACTTCACCAATAATCCAGGATGGTTTTCCATCTAAAGCTTCAAGCTCATCACAGTAACTCTGGGCTTTGTCATGTGGCAGACAAACAAGAAGACCACCTTAGAATCAAAACAAGTAATGTTAAAAACCTTAAATAATGTTTTAGATTCAATTCATCAGAGAACCCATATTTACTTTCCTTCCTTCAGTCTCCATCTTGTGTAAGCCAGTGATAAATAGCTTAAATTGGTGTTTTTTTTTAATAGAGAGAGGATATTACATGGCAGCACAGAGGTAAGAAATTTCTCTTCAAGTGTTGAAAGATATTTCTCTTGTTTTCTTTGCTCACTTGTGAAATATTTTTCAACACTTGAAGAGAAATTTCTTACCTCTGTGCTGCCATGTAATATCCTCTCTCTATTAAAAAAAAGATTATGCTGTTGTAATAGCATGACACCATGAAGCTGCACTAATTAATTTGTGAAAAGCAGCAATATCTTTGGTAGAATTCATCAGAGAACCCATATTTACTTTCCTTCCTTCAGTCTCCATCTTGTGTAAGCCAGTGATAAATAGCTGCAGCAGCAAAATGCAAAATAGCGCAATATAGATGGTTATGATTGCCATATTCATCTTTCAATTTTTTTCCTCAAACCAATCACAACACAATAACTATTTGCCCCATCTGTAGCAACAACACCTATCCTGTAGTATTAAGACAACCTTAGCATCTATGCTGTGCATTAGCAAGAGATGGAAAAGCAAAAGTAGAGGTTGCGATAAATGTTCTAGGCCTTCTCTCACTTAAAGAAATTGATGTTGCTTAGCTGGAAATTGAAAAGAAGGAAAGAGCATCACTAGAAATAACAAAAATACAAAGTGGTGTGGGCATTTAAAAGTCACAACTTTCAATCTATTAAACATGGCGTGACAAAATAGAATACATGGTTATTCACTCCCTTATGGTTGTGAAACATCTCTAAAATTAGAAATCATTAAGAAATTTTTAGAATACCAAGGCTAATGAAAACATATTTGTATTTTTGTTGCTTGGGAAATATAAGTGGTCAGCTACCATCAAGCTCTTTCCCATAAAAAAAAAGTGTGTCATAATTCATTACTAAATGATTACTTATGAAATGGATGTGTCAGAAATGTAAGTTAAAGAAAATACTGGATGAACTGCCAACACAATTAGACCAGGATCCCATCTCTATTTTGCTGCCAGATTGTCCTTTGAGGCAAAAGTTATATTGCATGTATTTCTAAGACAGCATGTTTTTTAATTGTCAAATTTTAGAAATAAACTACATAAAACTTAGCCGTAACCTTTACTATATGACAAAATAAAAGCATTCCAAAACAGTAGAGTTAGCCAGTACTGCTTTGATTGGAAAGCTACATCATGTTCAGTTATGACTCACCAGAAGTTTCAGCTGAAAATCCATCCAGTAATTTGAAATTAATACCAGAAGCCTTAAAAATCTTCACCATGTTGGCCAAGATGGGAAGTGTGTGTATTTTAAATGACACCTCGCCTTTCTGGTTTTTTGCCAAATTATTTGCATGTCCGAGAATTCCAAATCCAGTAACATCTGTAGCACCATGGGCATCATACTTGTGCATCATGCAAGCAGCATTCCGGTTCAACCTAGACATTGATTCCACAGCATTCTCATAGCTTTTTTCTACTTCTGCAGGTGTAACAACATCCTTGATCTTGTTCCAAAATTTGGGCTGTTGAGATGTCAAAGTTAGACTTCAAGTTAGCACCTTACATTTAGAGTAAAACTGGTCTCAAAAGAGAAAAAGAAAAAAAAAGAAGACATCTTGGAGAGAGTTATCCAGTCTCTCTGATAGCCTGTACAACAAATCATTTATTTCATCCCAGAAAGTAGTTTATACACAACAATAAAATTTTCAGTAAATCATTTTTATGAAGGGAGAGACTCACATCAATATCCTCCAACCACTGGTGTGCATTGACAGCAATCTGAGTTCCAAGAGGTTTAGTAAGGACTAAAACATCACCAGCCACTGCACTTTCTGGCCTTAACATAAAGTAAATCAACAATTTGTTGGTTAATTTATTCTTCAAGGCTGGTTGTATTTAATTCAGCAAATTTGATAAACTGAAGATGACAGGAAGATGAATTAACCCTTTACACCCTAATATTAGTGTCCATATTCTCATGATTGTTGTCTTTACATTTCCCATGATACTGACAAGGAGAATCTATTTGACAATCAGGAGCTCATTGAATTAAATTTCCAATCTTAACATTTTAATAGGCCAAAAAAGACATTTTTCCAAAATCTCTTGACAAAACGTTGCATCCCCCTCTTTGGACCATATTTCAGTGATCTCTCCCTATGGAGAAAAGTCAATAAAATTTTGTATTGTATTAGAAACTCATAAACCCAAGACTTGTCTAAATAATTCAGGACTGGCCCAAGAAATGAGATAATCATAGACAAGATGACGAGCAAAAGAGGTACGTGATGGTTTTATTGTCAAAAGATTATAAATTTGAATAAAATCCCAATTGGACAGTAGGTTTTGCCTCGTTACTCAATATTGATCTTCATGTACCAAACTTACATGATAAATTCGTCGTCGGAGACAACACTGGAAGCAACTCCACCAGTAATGAACCATGGATTAATCACTGTCTGTCCTCCGTTCACTGTTGTACCAGCTTCTAATGCCAGATCATTGAAACCTTTGATCACTAATGGCGTCACAACTTCTCTTTCCTTCAGTGTCATTTGACTGCTTACTCCAAGTAACATTAACATATTATCACATTCAGTAACCCCCATAGCGTATAAGTCACTCAACACATTCGCGCAAGCAATCTTTCCTTGCATGTAAGGATCATCCACGAGAGGATAAAAGAAATCAGTGGTCTGAACAAGACTTATTCCCTTATGCCTTGTGGGAAGAACACAACTGTCCATTCCAACACCGATTTTTCCTTCTCCTCTCTTGTGATCAAGTCCCTCAAGGAGCTTTAGCAGTTGCTCCTGAGGGACTTTGCATCCTCATCCTTTGAGTTTTGTGAAGTCTAACAGACGAAACGTTTCGGATAACCCGTGATCCTGAGGGATAAATCTGGAATATAATCCAAGAGACATGGTTTCACAACCTCGTGACACCTTCTATTTAGATTTCCCTAAGTTCGAACAAATAGGACGGAGATGGAAAACTGCGATCCTTTTGGTCAGCTTAAATAGATCGGTGGTGTAACTACCATGCAGTATACACCGACATTCCCAAGGCCATGATTGCCGGATTTCATATCGTGAGGGACTGGGGCGAGTTTGGCGCCTGCTGGACATTTGCAACCAAGAGCAAAATAGCGGTGCACGAAAAAAATAGGCGGCCAACTAGGCGACCATGGATGGATCCTCTTCCTCTAAGAAATAGCATTGGAACTGTGCTGGGGCACTGTGTACTAATAACTGGCGGAATGAAGGACTAGAATTTTATACCCTTAGTCCAATAGGTAAAAGAAACGGTGAACTAAAGGCATCTTATATGAAAGTTCTTATAAATGAAAACATTAACTGGCAGAAGCAAGTGATTTGTTCGGCACACTGGTCCAAAGGACGACGAGAAAGCATTGAAGATAACAAAAAATTGCCTTTTACGGGCATAAATGCCTAGGACGCGCCTCTCCATTGAATAGCGGGCTCTGTGATAAATGACACAAGAGATCACAAATTTGAGCCTATGACAATCGAATTCAGAAAAAGAGGAAAGGCGAAAGGGCAATTTCAAATACTTTGAATATATCATGATCATAAATAATTATCATGGAGAAATTTGAAATCAAATTATAAAAAAATGGGAGATTTTTAAAACAAAGGATATTCAGCTCCAGGCGACCGTGCAGGAGCCACGTCACCATTAGTCTTGGTGTAATGGGATGGAAATTTCGTCGTTAGAGAAAGAGCATAGAGAAGAGTGCTGACGTCAAGGGAATGAGTTGCACGTAGCAAGAACTAGTAAGCGAACCATTAAGGTCCTCACACCATTTTAGCTTTTGGTAGCTTTTGCAGCAGAACAGCGGCTACCATTGTCCCTAGATAAAATATTGGTCCATCTAGCAGATGCTATCATAGCGCAATTTTGCATAATAACACAAAATCTTCTTGGCGATTTTGGTTTCGAAGGTCATTTAGCACTAAAACAATGAAACGCAATTTCCCACTGATGTTGGTGGGGAATTCCGACTCAAAATTTTGAATCGCATTGTTTTTAGACGTGAGCAACTTTATCGTTTCGGCATAACTATTTCCCCAGATGCAACCTCTCGAAATCTCTATCAGGAGACAGCGGAATCTATCGAGTATTCGCTTTTTTCTTGAAAAATATTTTTTAAATTTTGGAAATATGTCTAATCCTGGTTTAAATATAACTGTAAACTCAGACGGAATGTGATATAATTTTTGGGAAACTTGATGTTTAAGAAAACTTTATTTTAATGAATCGTATCTCACTGTGGAAAACATTATATACACTATAAAAGTGGCAAAAAAATTTTCATATTTTTCAAAGTTTCATCGCACGGAATAGAATTATTTACAAAATTGAGGTCCAAATTGCCAGAGAAAATAGTCAGCTCTCAGACCATTTCTAAAAATGGGAAAAACTATTAAGAGATTGGCCTTGGACAGGTGGAAGTGGAAGAAAAAAAGTAATAATTCAGCAAACAATAGAGGTAAATTCAAACATATATATGTCACACAGGTGAATAGTACTTTTCCCACGCGTTAATGGGCTAGTATGGAAGTGAATAGCAAGTACGGCTATTCACCTCGATCAAGAGACTGTCTCTAAGAATTTGGAATGAGAGCAACAGCTTTAGTAAAGAACAATGTTGGAAGCCACAACGAGCGGTTTATCTAGTAAGTTAGGTTGAATTTACGTTCATCGTTCCCAATCCTTTTTTAGTTTTGCATATATAGAGAGTTTTCTCATTACATAATCATATTATAGTTCAACAGATGTCTTCATCTTTGAAATGTTTATCAACTTTTTGAAAAATTCGTTCCTGAGTTAGATTTATCAACCAGATGAACACCTTAATTGGTGCACACCATTAAGTTTGAATGATGCAAGGCACGTCCATGAACTCCCAACCATCTTGAAATGAGTGAAGTTCACTGAGGATTTTTCTTTTTGATGCTGTCAGGAAGGTGAGAGTTTACAATGTCCTGGTTGGGCGGTTACTATGAAGACGAAATATATCATGTTGCACTTCCAGATAAACAGTAGCGAAAGTTGAGGAGAAAGCCGTTTATTGAGCTGCAGAATGATCGCGACAACAAATTCACCAGAACGCGGAACGCCGACGATAACTTATCAAAAACTGTTATGCTCACCCACTTTTGCTAGTGGGTTACAGCAAATCCCAATTTATTTCTGTGCAGCTAACATTCTCATCTCCCTCGCAGTATTCATTGGGAATTTCCTTATCCTTGTTGCCCTAAATGAGGAAGGTTCCCTTCATCCACCTTCCAAACACTTGTATCGTTGTCTGGCCGCAGCTGATTTGTTAGTTGGTCTTGTTACTCAGCCTTTCTTTGCTGTTTATCACATGTCCTTAGTTTACGGACATTGGAGTCTTTGTCGATGTTCAATCGACGTAGTCTACATCACAAGCTATACATTATGTGGAGTATCATTGTTAACGTTGACGGCCATTAGCGTGGACAGACTTCTCGCCCTGTTGTTGGGAATGAGATACAGACAAATCGTAACTTTGAAACGCACGTACATCATTACAGCCATCCTTTGGATTATATCCGGTGTTGCTGCTGCATTTTACCCTTTAAATCTTCAAATAACCCGTTTGTATGGTATTATAATTGCAGTATTTTGCCCAGTGATCTCTACCTATTCATATATTAAGATCTTCTGCGCTCTCAGTCATCGTCAGACTCACATACAAGATCATGGGGGACAACAGCCGAGCCAACCAAATGCACTGAACATGGAGCGATACAGAAAGGCAGTATACAGTGCCTTATGGGTGCAGTTAGCATTGGTTGTTTGTTATGTACCAAAATTTATAATTACAATTGTGATCATTCAGAGAAAAACTTATTCTTCACATATAATAATCGTTGATGGAATAACGTCGCTTGCAGTGTACTTAAACTCAGCCTTGAACCCGTTTATTTACTGCTGGAAGATAAGAGAAGTGAGACAAGCAGTAAAGGGGACAATCAGAAGAGCACTTTGTTGTACATGGACTTAGATATTTTTCCCCTGGGGTCACACACGTATCACGATGCGTACGAGCTCATAGTCTGATAAAACTACAGTTGTAAGTACAGGAGAAACGGACTTGTTATCGGGTGAGATTATAATATTATTAATGTAACTCAGTTTCAAGTCGCTTCCTGCTAAGGAAGCCGGGGTGGAATCATCATCTCTGCTCGAGAACAGACTTAACCTTTTCCGTAAGTTACACAAACTTTTGATGAATAGTGCATTATTCAATTCTTTAACTTCCTGGCAACTTCACGAAACGTGGACAGAAGTATCGCAGGATAGGTACGTAACGGCAATTTGTGATGCTTCGAAACACTGAGGAGATAGACAATTAAAGTCATGTAAATAAACGGTTTTAAACAAACGAGACATTTGAATTTATTTTTTAAGTTTTATTGTATAAGTTGTTTAACCATGTTAATAAGCGGAGAACAGTTTTATGAATGATCGGTTGGGGAGCTTATTAAATCATTTCCTCATAAAGGAGTCTCGTATTTCTTAAATTGAGTCGGAGTTTCAGTTTAAATTTTGTTTTAAACTTTTATGTCAAAAAGCGGCCACAAACGATCAGATCAGTGTTTCATTTCATTAGATAAAAATTGTTTGTCGTTCTAAGTAATTCTCCACTCATCGATCGATTCTTCATCTGCGTTTTCGAGGAACTTCAATTCTTTTGAACAAAGACAAGGCGGGGGCGAATATTAATTTGGCGCATGCAATCACCAGCCGTATACACGCAGATTGTCCAAAAACTAAACAAATTAGGACTTTTCTAATCTTGTAGTCAAATTAACTTTCGAAAGGAATGATATTTGACTAAACTTTGCTCCTGATTAAAAAGTGTAGGAGTTATATGAATCAAACGAAATGAATTTCTTTCTTGTTAGGGGAAATATGTGTAAGTTTTGAAAGAGATAAGGTAAACAGAGAGTGGGAGTGGGAATTATATAACTTGGGAAAATGAATAAAAATGAAAACTGTAGGGTGTGTTGGCTTAGTTACGCGATATTTTGCATCTGTCGTAGTTCCTTTTTTTAATCCTAGTCGGACACGAAAAGAAGAAAATATAACTCATCGATGTTTTGTAATAACAAGACATTAATTACACGTTGTTTAAAATCACTCGGGATCTAAGTCACACTATTGATTTTTTGTTTGTTTAAGTGAAAATCTATCAACAAATCTTTCAATTTGAAAAACTTAGTAAATTTTTGCGGATCGCCAAATTTTCGCCAATCTTCCGTGGACCCGATGTCCTCTTTGGAGGCCTCCAAATTTTGGCAAAGCAAGCAATCAAATTCTTTTTTTAGACCATTCAGCTGTCATGTTGTGATTGACGTATGAACCATCAGTGACGTTTTATTCAAAGAATAATAATAATAATCTGATGCGACCGCCGCCAAAATTTGGACAATGCGAATTTTTTGCCAATTTTTGACGCGCGAAAAAATTAGAAAATATTTTAATTCGCTCTAGTGCGACCTGGCCTTTGTAGCGATTTTTTATTTCATCTCAAAGGTATCTCCGGGTAATGTGAAAAAATTGCTTTTGGTGTTTTATTTATGCAATTGGAAATCATTCATATTTTTAAAGGGAACAGAATTCTGTCAAGTTCCTGATGACTCAAACTTCTGACAGGAACTAGCTAATTTTTGTGATATTCTGTCCAAGCAGTAAAAGATAAACCTGAACAAAAATTCTAATAATTTTATTTTTCCAGTTTTTTTACTTCTCTATAGTTGTGGAGAGGGATGGTAAGAAGCTGGTAGACGAAAGAAAATAAATGATCGTAAATTTAGCTTCACGAAAAAATGCGAGAAAAGACACGACAAGCTTATCACAATTTGCTCTCGTGCAACAAAATATCAATGATGGCAAAATGTAATTCATCTCATTTTCCAAAAAACTGACCACCAAGAATCATTGATTTTTAGGCAGGATGTGCAGAATTCATGCGAAATGCCATAGAACCTTACAGTTCAATTCCATCAGTTAAGGATGATGTTCTTTTATGGAAAAGTGTTAGCAAATTTTTTTGTGTATCCCTATGCATGAAATTTCGTTGAGTGTCAAAATTTTGACTTGATTGTTTCTGTCTGAAGTTTGTTTACTGCTATTCCAGATATATTCCTTGCTTAGTAAATTTTTGATGTCTCATGTTTCCACTGATATGGAGCATATTATTATTCTGTTAAAAACCAACTTTGACTCAGATTATATAGTATATTTGATTGACACCGTCTCCAGGCCCAGCTTGTGAACTGTTTCATCAAGTATGGAGCTATTGAGTGTAAACCAATGTAAGCGATGCTCGTAATAACTTGCCAAAAAGCGAGAGAAACGCTTACAAACAACTTGAAACATTTTTTACAAATATCTGTCACAATCTGACACCTGTCAATTAGAGAGCGTGTACGAAAAAAAAAAAGCGCATGTACACTTTTGAAAAGAAAAAGGAAGGGTACAGGTTTGGCAAATAAACTCGATGTTAACAACTGTCAAGAGAACTTTTTCTTCAAAACCATTTAATGATCTTATGGAAAGTATTCACTTCCATCGATAATTAGTGTACGAAGAATATTGTAAAATTATAAGGAAAGTAATCGAAAGTAAATTCAAATGTATGTTTTGAAGTTGTGAGAGTTTGCTCGTTTGTTTGCTGCAGTGGCGCGTGTAAATCGTGGTTTTTTTTTTACCAAATAATTTAGGTTAAATGAGACACTTTAACAAGACCCAAGGAGAATTTAATGAGGCTTTTTCTCGTTGAATTCATTCGGTTTAATCGTAATTTACGATGCAAATGGACAAATTGAACAGGCCGACTTGAAAAGACTTACCGAAAGCGTGGTTGAGGTAGGACGTAAAACTTCGCTATAACTAACAAATTTGTTTGAGAGAATTCAGATATTACATGAATGAAAGTTCCATCGATTAATTCAATTGTAAATAAATATCTCACTGTTTTAACTTTCTGAGTTACTTTTTGTGAAGGATTAAAGTTAATTGAAAACTGTTTTTGGGCCGCGAGTCAACCCATTTCATGACATATTTGCTCATATGCCACAAATTCATATCGAAAACAATTTTCTACTGGCAACGAAAGTGATTTGAGGGTGAGAAAAGAGACTAAGTTATTAATCGGCTTGACTTGTTTAACTATACTTTGCTTGAAAATAATGCCCAGCCGGAAAACAAACTTAAAGTATGAAGAATGGCAAAGGAGCTAGGGTAACGCATTGGTGAGTCGCCGAGTACATCCCTACCATCGTTGCCACTTTTCATAACTATATCTCGTTTCTTTGGCTGAGCAGTATTTTTAAGCAAAGACGT